CGACGGGGGTTACTTACCATAGATTCGACACCACACGTCGGCCATAGGAGTACATCGGCTTCGAGGGCGAAGCCTTCCGAACTAGAGGAGAATGGTGTAGTTATTATTATTATTATTAATTATTTTTATTTATTTGGCTTGACGGACAAGTTAATATCTAGGGTTTAGGAGTCTTATTTAAAGGGCTCCTCATGTATTGTTTTACTCAGTTGATTTTTGAATGAAATAAGATTTGATTGAGTTTTTGTGAGTATTATCGAGAGAGTATCTCGTTTATCATTCCCATCCGTACGCTTCCCTACATCAACATCCCACCTCTTAGATCGAATATTTAGTATTACAAATTATTAATTGTGTTATTACTTATTTGAAGGGTCTATTTATTAGAACCAAACATGTTTATAAGATGAAAATATTATAAAACTCTATAATATCATACACAATAGTGTCGACCAAACCGACCCATAGTAATAAAAGCAAACTAATTTCTAGCATATTTTGTTTATCTTCCCATTAAATCAAAGAAGAAAAGAGAAAAGGACAAGGCAAACGAATAACATTCGAATACAATCAAGAAATTAAAGCAAACAAATTAAGGAAAAACTCAAACTTTTGACTTCTTGGCCACACCCGAGTATTTTAAATTACTAAATTAGAGTCACGTACGGCGTAAACACACATTTAACATTTTCTCCCTCTAAGATGGCTCTTCCTGATCACTTCCGATGCTCAAACTTGCACTACCTTCCAAGGAAAAAATAAAAACACGAGCATTTGTCATCTTCATTATTTCTTTTCAATGGCCAATTCTAATAAGGCAATATTAGCCCTTGTTTTATTTGCTATAATAATTTCTTTTATGTCTGTGGTGCTTGTCCGAGTGAAAATTGGCTAACCGTGCTAACAAATCCATAAGGGAAAGTCAACAGTCGTTCGGTAAGCTCGGAAGTCAGAAAAGGTTGTCGCCTGGTGGGCCGAATCCTCAACACCATTAGTAAGGGGATATGTTAGTATATGTACTCATGATCTTCCATCTACATAATGGTTGATCTAATGTTATGAGAGTTGAATAAAACTTGTCAAGTAGAGAGAAATAAGTGGTGGCATTTTGCTCAAATCATCTCTCTTTAGGTAAAGAGACTTTGGTTTGGTCCATGCAAAGCCGTTTCCGTAGTTAAAAAGTGTGTTAAATTTGCTAAGTTGTGATGTTGCCTACACGTGCTTAATCGATGTCGTTTTATATATTGTTAATTACCTTTGGTGTAATTTTCCAGTTGATCTNTTTAAAAAAAAAAAAAAAGGTCATGTATTTTTTATTTGATCATAGGAGTCCCTAACTCATTTATTTTAAATCAACTTTCGAAATTAAGTTCATTTAACCAGAAAGAAACCGTTTCTTATCTAGGTGACATATATATACGAATTAATAATACTGAAGTTTGCGAAAATTGATAAAAAAAAAAGTAAATTGTATATTGGTTAAAAATAAATATGATTGTTGCATGCAGTTGGAGCAAGTTTGTTAACCGAAAATTTCCGAGCTCGGGTTGTCTTCACAAGAAGGGCTATTTGGGGCAAAATAAACATCATAATTTGTTATTGAGCATATACATAACAATTTGTAAATAAACATCCTCGATTTATCACATCAAAAATATATTCAACCATGCCCGATTTTTCATTTAAACAAAGCCCAATTTTTTTATACATTGCTCTGTGAGTTCAAGAACTTATCAATTACGTATTATTTAGTATCACATCATTAAAATATTATGGTTCTTCTAATATTATGAATTTGAGGCCATTTGACGTTTCTTTTGGGATTGTAAATTGTTTGAATTTATATTTCCAAGAGTAACTCATTCAATTGGCTATGATTGAATAAGGGGATAATATGCTAAATTATGGTTCTTAATTTTTTGACTTGAAAAAAAGTCCTTTTTATTCTTCTAATTAATTCTTGTGCTCGTCTTCAACTAAACAAAACTAAAGGCAAGGAAACAACAAAATAAGACAAATGAGTACATAAACGAAATAAATTAGTAAAAGGGCTAATGATATCTACCTAGAATTGGGTTTGAGAAATTAAGATCTCATAAAATATAGCAAACTTTGGACCTCTCCACTAAGTAAATGGACAACTTGAGTTATATAATTCAAATAAATATAAAGATGTCATTAGTGCTGTTAAATTAGACGAGTCTGACTCAACTCGGCCCGAGTTTGGCATTAAGCCTCGGGTTAAACCTCTTCAATGCCAAACGGGTTAAACCTCATCGTTTGAACAAAAGATCTGGTTAAACCTCTATTTAAGATCCAAATCTCTAATTCTAGCTTAAAACTCTCGTTACCAAACATGACTCTATTTTTTAAATGTGTAATGAATACAAAATATTATTATTATGTGTTTCAGGAACTAAAATAAAATGATTTTTTTTTCGCCCTTTTATTCAAAATAAATTTAACCAACTTTTTCGCCCTTTATCGTCTTTTTATTCAAAATAAAATAATAGGCGGCGGGACGATGTACGACTTTGGGAATTGTTGGGCGGCAACAAGCAGTAGTGGCGGTACGACGTGCGGGGTCAAGGGGTGGCGGCGGCAAGCAACTGCTCTGCCATTGCCTCGGCCACCCCCTCGCTCCAGAACAACTTCGACCCGCCGAGAGTCCAATTAAACCTTGCAAGCCGGAGTCTTGACCAGTGAGCTCCTGAATGAGAGCCTAGAGTTCGAAGGCAATGGTTGTACACTTGACAGGGTTCGTTATGTAGACAACTTTGAGAGTGCTCTTCTTCTTGGTCTTGCTGTTGGGGTTTTGTTATCTTTGAGTGGGCTCTTTTCGAAATAACGGTGGAACGGCGACTTCCAGATGGTCGAGCAGCCGACGATTAGCATCTGAATTGGGTCCGGCGATTACATATGAAAATTTTAAATGAAAAGGCTTCGTGATATGTACAAGAGGTGGATGAAGGTGTTTGTTTAACCTTCAATACAAAATAATGATACATTCATTACACATCCCACCTCTTAGATGGAATATTTAATATAAAAGTTTTTAATAATATTAACTGTGTCATGACTTATTTGAAGGGTCCATTTATTATAACCAAACATCACCCCTATATATAATTACTGAATGCGTTGAGCGTAAATGAGAATGACATATGCTCACACTTTGAAATCCTTTGTGACAAAAATATTATGCTTTATCTTTTATACAAAAATAATTAATCTTGGATTTCATTTAATGTCTATATTATTCATATTAAATTCATGGTTGATATATTCCTTATTTTCTTCTACAATTAGTTACCATAAACTATTTTACGTTTCTTTTTCTTACATTTCCTTTTCATATTTAATTGATAGATGAATTATTATAAATGTTTCTTCTTCTTATTTTTAAAATTTTATAAATTTTTTTATTTGTATTTTATTTTTCATATATGATATATCAAATTAAATATCTTTTAACGATTTTCGATTTGACATCTATATTATATATATATAATACAAAACCTTGATATATATCCTTATAAAGAAAATTTAAATTTATTTATCAAACTAAATTAAAAACTATAAATTAACTTATAAAGTAATGAAAATTTATGCGTATTAGCATACCATAGAATAATTAATTTAATTGAAAAATGAAATATGTAAACTAACCATGAACATCAAATTAATAGAAAAATATTTTAAGACTTATGTCTTGATATGGAATATCATACTAGACCGATTTTAATAAGGAATAAACCTACACATGGTCTAGAACTCATGTCATAATGGTATTGCTAAAGCTAAACTTAGGCACTAAGGTACACCTCCCCTATAAAAGGAGACTAAGGTATCACAAAAACACACTCTCTCTACATTCATTACTATACTCTCATATTGCACTTTATCTCTGACAAATGCTGAGTTCGTCATCGGAGGCTCGACGCTAGGACCCCTCCCGACATTGAATTCTTGCAGGTACGGAGGCCGTCCAAGTTGAAAGAGCCGGGTGAAATCCATTTCACTACCATGTCTTAACATAAGTATAATGATCTTGAAAAAAAAAATATTATAATTAGAATAATAAAAATAATTTCATAAAGTTTAATCTCATACACATTATATCTTAAATTATTCAAATATTATAAAGTTGAAGATATTTTTAAAAATATTAGATGAGGGAATGAAACTGTATAAATATGTAATACAATTACAATATAATCAAACTTAAAAAAAATTAATTCAAAATTAAATTATTGAGTTGTAAATAACATATATATGTGTGAGCGTGTGTGTGTTTGTGTGTGTGGTTAAAAAAATTATAATTTTGACCAATCGAGTATAGAACATGAGTGTTATTTTAAATAATTTACTTTATTATTTTTTAATTATTAATTGTATTTTTTTATTAATCTATTATAATAATATAAATTTATTTACTTCTTTATTTTGATAAAGAATATTTAATTTCAAGCACCCGTGTTGTTCACGAGTGTTATATTAATTGTCGATTGAATNTCACTTGTTATTGAATAATTAATTTTTTATGAAACACTCGTGTAGTTCACGTGAAACTAAACGTGCATTTTACTAGTGTTTGATAAGATGAAAGGTTTATGAAACTGTATAATATCATGGACAATAGTATCAACCAAACGATCTCATAGCAACAAAAACAAACTAATTTCTAACTTTTTTTATTTATCTTCCCATTAAATGAAAGAAGAAAAGAGATAAGGAAAGACAAAAAGAATAACACTTGAATACAATCGAGAATTGAAGCAGACAAATTAAGGAAAACCCCAAACTTTTGACTTCTTGGCCATACCCGACTATTTTAAAATACTATATTAAAGTCGAGCAGGATGTAAACACACATCTAGCATTTAATTTCTCCCTCTTCTATAAATATGACTCTTCCTAATCACTTCCAATGTTCAAACTTGCACTTCCTTCCAAGGCAAAAATAATAACACGAGCATTTCATCTTCATTTTCCTTTCAATGGCCAATTCTAATAAGGCAATATTAGCCCTTGTTTTATTTGCTATGATAATTTCTTTTATGTCTGTGGTGAGCTCAGATGCTCGTCTCTTGTCCGAGTGGAAATTGGCTAACCGTGCTAACAAATCCATAAGGGAAAGTCAACAGTCGTTCGGTAAACTCGGAAGTCAGAAAAGGTTGTCGCCTGGTGGGCCGAATCCTCAACACCATTAGTAAGGGGAGAAGGGATCCTCAACATATCCCCTTACTAGTAAAGGGATATGTTGATAATTGTACTCATGATCTTGTTCCATCTAGATAATGTGTGAGCTAATAACTGTTATGTGAGTTGAATAAAGCTTGTCAAGTAGAGAGAAATAAGTGGTGGTTTTTGCTCAAATCATATCTCTTTAGGTAAAGAGATTTTGGTTTGGTCCATGCAAAGCCGTTTCCACAGTTAAAAAGTGTGTTAAATTTGCTAAGTTGTGATGTTGCCAGCACGTGCTTAATTAATGTCGTTTTATATATTGTTAATTAATTACCCTTTTGTGTAATTTTCCATTTGATCTTCTGTGAAAAAAAATTAAGTACATATAACCAGAAGCGTTTCTTATCTAGGTGACATCTATATATGAATAATAGTGAAGTACGCGAAAATTGATAAAAGAAAAGTAAATTGTTATATTGAGTTAAAAATAAATATGATTGGTGCAGTTGTAGTAAGTTTGTTAACAGAAAATTTCCGAGCTCGGGGTTGTCGAGGGCTATTCGGGGCTAAATAAACATCACAATTTGTAATTGTACATATATATACATAAGAATTTGTAATAAACATCGACAATTTATCACATCAAAAATATATTCAACCATGCCCGATTTTTCATTTCAACAAAGCCCAATTTTCTTTATACATTGCTCTGTGAGTTCAAAACTTATCAATTACGTATTGTTTAGTATCACATCATTAAATATTACGGTTCTTCGAATATTATGAATTTCAGGCCATTTGACGTTTATTTTGGGGGGTTGTAAATTGTTTGAATTCATATTTCCAAAAGTAACTCATTCAATTGGCTATGACTGAATAATGGGATAATATGCTAAATTATGGTTCTTAATTTTTTTACTTAATAAAAAAGTCCATTTTATTCTTCTAATTCTTGTGCTCGTCTTCAACTAAACAAAACTAAAGGCAACGAAACAATAAAATAAGACAAATGAGTACATATACGAAATAAAGAGTAAAAGGGCTAACGACATCGATTTATAATTGGCTTTGAGAAATTAAGATCTCATAAAATATAGCAAACTTTCGACGTCTTCATTGAAGGGTCCATTTATTATAACCAAACATCACCCCTATATATAATTACTGAATGCGTTGAGCGTAAATGACATACTCTTACGTTTCAGAATCTTTTGTGACATAAAATCATGGTTTATCTTTTATACCAAAATAATTAATCTTGGATTTGATTTAATGTCTATATTATTCATATTAAATCCATGATTGATATATTCTTTATTTTCTTCTACAATTAGTTACCATAAACTATTTTACACTTTTTTTTTCTTTCATTTCCTTTTCATATTTAATTGAACATCAATTATTATAAATGTTTCTTCTTCTTATTTTTAAAATTTATAACTTCTTTATTTGTATTTTATTTTTCATATATGATATATCAAATTAATTATTTTTAACGATATTCGATTTGACATCTATATTATATATATAAAATACAAAACCTTGATATATATCTTATAAAGAAAATTTAAATTTATTTATCAAACTAAATTAAAAACTATAAATTAACTTATAAAGTAATAAAAATTTATGTGTATTAACATACCATAGAATAATTAATTTATTTGAAAAAAGAAATATGTAAACTAACTATGAACATCAAATTAATAGAAAAATATTTTAAGGCTTATGTCTTGATATGGAATATCATACTAGACTGATTTTAATAATTAAGAAATAAACCTACACATGGGGTTAGGACACATGTCATAATGGTATTGCTCAAGCTAAACATGGGCACTAAGGTAGACCTCCCCTATAAAAGAAGCCTAAGGCATCACAAAACACATTCTCTCTACATTCATTACTATACTCTCATATTGCACTTTATCTCTGGCAAATGCTGAGTTCGGCATTGGAGGCTCGACGCTGAGACCCATCCCGGCGTTGAGTTCTTGCAGGTACGGAGGCCGTCTAAGTTGAAGGAGCCCAGGTGAAATCCATTTCACTACCATGTCTTAACATAAGGTATAGTGATCTTGAAACTAAAAAACTAAATAAATTTATAATTACAATAGTAAAAATAATTTCATAAAGTTTAATCTCATACACATTATATCTTAAATTATTTGAATATTATAAAGTTGAAGATATTTTAAAAAATATTAGATGAGGGAAAAAACTGTATAAATATATAATATAATTACAATATAATCAAACTTAAAAAAAAAAGAAATTAATTCAAAATTAAACTATTGAGTTGTAAATAACATATATATGTGTGAGTGTGTGTGTTTTTGTGTGTGTAGGTAAAAAAATTATAATTTTGACAGATTGAGTATAGAACATGAGTGTTATTTTAAATAATTAACTTTATTATTATTAATTGTATTTTTTTATTATTCTATTTTAATAATATAAATTTCTTCACTTCTTTATTTTGATAAAAAAATATTTAATTTTCAAGCACCCATGTTGTTCACGGGTGTTATATTAACTGTCGAATTAATTAATTATTATATTTAATTCTGAAAAAAATAAATACATATATAAAATAAAAGAAATAATAATTCATAAAAATATTTTATAGAATTCGAAATAATATTAAAAAAAATTACGTTCTTATTAATTATTTATAGTTTTTTTATTTCAGATTAAGAATTTCAGTTCTTTTTTACTTTTTATTGGACAATTAATTTTTTATGAAACACTCGTGTAGTTCACGTGCGTTTTACTAGTGTTAATAAGATGAAAGATTTATGAAACTATATAATATCATGCACAATAGTATCAACCAAACGAACCCATAGCAACAAAAACAAACTAATTTCTAACTTTTTTTATTGATCTTCCCATTAAGTCAAAGAAGAAGAGACAAGGAAAGGCAAAAGAATAACACTTGAACACAATCGAGAATTAAAGCAGACAAATTAAGGAAAAACCCAAACTTTTGACTTCTTGGCCATACCCGACTATTTTAAATTACTAAATTAAAGTCGTGCATGTTGTAAACACACGTCTAGCATTTTCTCCCACTTCTATAAAGATGACTTTTCCTAATCACTTCCAATGTTCAAACTTGCACTTCCTTCTAAGGCAAAAATAATAACACGAGCATTTCATCTTCATTTTCCTTTCAATGGCCAATTCTAATAAGGCAATATTAGCCCTTGTTTTATTTGCTATGATAATAAACCAACGCAATTGGATTAAAGTCTTCCCAACGAACTTTTCGAAGCGCAATGAATGCTATTATTTATTTCTCTTCTCCATAGGGCAATTTCTTATATGTCTGTGGTGAGCTCAGATGCTCGTCTCTTGTCCGAGTGGAAATCGGCTAACCGTGCTAACAAATCCATAAGAGAAAGTCAACAGTCGTTGGGTAAACTCGGAAGTCAGAAAAGGTTGTCGCCTGGTGGGCCGGATCCTCAACACCATTAGTAAGGGGAGAAGGGATCCTCAACATATCCCCTTACTAGTAAAGGGATATGTTAGTAATTGTACTCATGATCTTCCATCTAAATAATGTGTGACCTAATGTTATGAGAGTTGAATAAAGCCTGTCAAGTAGAGAGAAATAAGTGGTGGCATTTTGCTCAAATCATCTCTCTTTAGGTAAAGAGATTTTGGTTTTGTCCATGCAAAGCCGTTTCCACAGTTAACAAGAAATGGACAAATTAGGGGAGCTCAATCTATGTGAAAATTCCATCAGCACATGGTTTAAGGTGTTGAACCAAAGCACTTCCATACGAACGTGTATTCATGCAATCGCAGCTGTGCGATTGTTAGAATATACATTTGTGAGTTGTCTTACATCGTCTATACAGGGAAAATAGGCCTAACTTATAAGTCTAGTGGGCTACTCTTCCTACCACCAATTGATTTTAGGATGGAACTCACTTAGGCTTCATTTAGACTTCCCTGCTTTGATGCGCGTGGGATCGAATTCTACGATTCCCATGTAAAAACAAAAAGGGTCATACAAAAAGGGTCATGTATGCTTCATCGATCATAACTCATCTATTTTAAATCAACCGTCTAAATTAAGTTTATTTAACCAGAAAAGAGAGCGTTTCTTAGCTAGGTAACATATATATACGAATAATATTGAAGTATGCAAAAATTGATAAAGAAAAGTGTTAATTGAGTAAAAATTAAATATGATTGTTGTAGTGTTAGATCTATTTGAGATTAAATATGTGTAATTGCGAACATTGATAAAGAAAAGTGTTATATTGAGTAAAAATTAAATATGATTGTTGTAGTGTTAGATCTATTTGAGATTAAATATGTGTAATTGATATATTGAGTCGTTATATTGTTTAGCCAAATTAAGTAATCAAATTATTGTATAAATATATTGATTAAGGAACTCAATGCCAAATTAAGTGGTTAAATTATTGTATAAATATATTGATTAAGGAACTCAATTTAAACTGTAGAACGATTAAATGTGGACACCTGATAATATTATTATTGGTGACGCAACAAACAATAATATTTAACTTAAAGACCTAATTAATAAATAATTTGGGACAAAATTATTAATGGGTAGAGTCCCAAGCAGTGATGAATACAAAGGGCGCCCTTGAAATTCTTCATTTAAAATAAATAAGAACTGTTGGTACACCCCACTCTCAGTTATTTTTCTTCGTATGTCAGAAGAGAGGAGAGAATACACTTCACGGCCTTTTGGAAGTTCTCCAAATCTCAAATTCCAAACCTCAAATTCGAGTTCGAATCCAATAAATCAAGATGAATTCATCAAGTACGCTTCCACTATTTGGTTTGATTCTCGATTATTCAATATGAACGCTCTTGAATTAAAGCGATAGTATTTTGCATAAGATTAAAATTTCATCATGTAGTAGTAGTAAGTTTGTTAACCAACCAAGTACGGAAAAATTCCCGACTTCAGGTCATCTTCTCAAGAAGGGCTATCCAAGGACTAAACATCAACAACTAGTTGCAAATCACAAAAAAGTTGAAAGTTCTAAACATCCTAATAGCATTGATTGGTTTAGTTTTAAGATACGCTCTAAGGAAATTTAAACGAGCGATTAACTAAGAAAGCAAGTCAAAACATTCACCGATGGAAGACCCATCTCGGAGACGACCGCGATTGGTGAATATTTCCTCGGCAACCCTTCCGTTTCCGGTGGGCAGCAGGACTTAGAGATAATTAGAAGATCACGGGCCGATTTTTTCTAGAAGCTTCAAGATTATTCTCTTATTATTTATTATGATTTCCAGATTGTTTATACTTTGAATAAATTCTTTAAAGTTTAAACTCTAATACG